TCCTTTCAGTTACATGTGTGCATGTTCCATTGAATTTTCCCCTTGATATATAATTCCCTTTCATTACAGAGACACTTTTAGAGAACAGTAAGATTAAGATATACTTACATATCAACCTACCAAGGCTCAAATATAGGGCAGAATGTGTAGTGAAGACTCAAAATGAGGGACATAAAATTATTCATGCGGGAAATTTAAAATGCTGTGTTTTGTTCCTTTAGATTAAATAATTATTTCAGTAAACCTCAGTTTCATAATTCTTTGTTTCTGATGTAAAAAAATTTCAACAATAAAAGTGAGGGATGCCAAATCTCTATTGACTGAACTTTCTGGCTAAAAATGAGCAAACTCCTCCAAATGAAGGACAGTTGAGAAGTATAGAGACATGACCCTACAGTTTGTTGCCTTTTTGTATCTTTCTGTTTTGTGTATGTTTTCATTTAAGAAATTTTCTTTGTTTCATTAAAGAACATTGGTAAACTCTAAATACTATAAAATACTATTTTAAGTGTCTCAGATTGTCATTTCATTGGGCACATTAATCACATGATGACAAGGACAATTTCTAATTAAATTTGAATAGAGGAGGTCATGTGGAGTTCTGATTGGGTTATTGCCCCGACCCCTACTGTGCAGGAAGTACAGCAGGAAACCCCTTTTGTAAACAAGTCATGATTCATTGCCTTTCCTTGCCTAAGAGAGAGGTCGTGACTCAGTTTTCAGTAGCCAAGATCAGATTTTGAGATGCTGTAGCCAGAATGTTGTTAAAGTTTGAATCCTGCAAACATAAAGTGTTGGATTCAATAAAGCTTTTATAATAGCCTGTGTGATATAGGAGTTCATACTGTTGATTGTTTTTCCAAAGTACATCTTGACAATACAGTCTCCGTGGAAAAAAACTAAATTATTTGAAACAACCTGCCTGATTTGAGGTGTGCTTTTAATAAAGAGAAATATAAAATTAAAAACACAGAGCCCCCAAAGACTGGTTCTAGGGAAAGAAGAAAGTAAGATTTTTTTCCTAACCACTATTTATTCACGGATGGCTGATACTCTTAGTAGCCATGCCACTATGGAGGAGATGGACTTGAAGATTGGTATTTGGGGAGGGGAGATTTTTAAGATAAATTTTGGTTGGTTAATCTTGGCTAGATGAGGAAGTTAGGTGCTGGATTTGTTCTTTTGTATTGATTTTTGTTCTTAAAATATTGTCAAAGGTACCTTGTGCAAAGTACTTTTAAACAAGAATTAATAAATGTAAATAGAGAATATATTTAAATAAATACCGAGACACTGGACGGGAACATAGAGAAAGAAAACGAGTTAGAGAGATGGACCATATAAATGAAAATATTGTCTGCTAGTTTGCACTTGGCACTAGGCATCAGGAGGTCTGAGTTCTGTTCCTAGCTTTAACCAATGACTTGCTTTTTGCCATGGGCAAGTCACCTAACCTCTTTGTGCCATAGTTTTGTAAAACAGGGATAAATAATGCCTACCTGCCTCTTGGGATATTGTGAGAATGAAGGGAACTATATAAATTCAAAGTACTGTATTATATTATTGCATGTATTATTTAACTAACTGTATTTGTTTATATTCCGAGGTGCTCAGCACGTAAAATTTTCCTAAGTGTTATTTTTTCTGCATATAGGTGGCTTTATTATTACACACAGAAGTGGTTAAGCACAGCCAGTGAGAAAGAGAGAAGAGAGAAGGGTATCTATGGAAGAAATGTATGGTTTAAAATCTTTCCGGCTTAGGTTCCCTCCTGCTTTTATTCTATATGCTTATTTAAGTTTATTTGCAATCAGTCATAGGATCATTTTAAACACCCCAACATTTTGGGAACGTTTGGCACGGTTTTGTAGCTCCCAAACCTTGTCTAATTCAAGATAGTAGGCAGGATGTAAATGTGCTGGTTATTTGCTAAGGTTCTTGGACTGTCACAACATAGGCAAAGGTTACTCTGAGAGTCTGAGCGTTTCATTGAAAATGTAAACGCCTTTGTGCCTTAGAGTATTTGTTTAAGTAAGGAAAATTTATGTAGCTTATGGAGGAATTACTTTGTGGGGAAATTCAATTTCTGTAGCTTTTCTATTTCATTTCCTCAGTTACCATCTCATCGCATAAGGTCTACCCTTTCTTCAGGAGTCCAAAGCATAAACAGAAAAATGTATTTCATTTAATAGTTGGCTTGGGAAATGATTCCAGAATGGAGGGTTTGTCCATTACAACCATGCCTGTTGCACAGAGTGCACTGCTTTTATTTGATTTTGTTCTTCGACCATTGTGCTGGCTGTAAGAACATGAGCATGTAAATCTTCTCTCTCTCTCAAAATGTTGTGGTTTGGCTGGAGTGCTGTAGAATAACCCAAAGCATTACACAGTGTCATATTATAGATCAGGAGTTCTCAAACTTCATTGCACCACGACCTCCTTCTGACAACAAAAATTACTACAGGACCCCTGGATGGGGAACTGAAGCCTGAGCGCACCCAAGCCCTGCCACCCTGGGCATGGGGGAACAGGGGCAAAGCCAAAGCCCCACCTCCCCCAGGCCGGGGAGCCAAAGGCTTCAGTCCCAGGCAGGGGGCCTGTACCTGAGCTCTGCCACCCAGGGCTGAAGCCCTCAGGCCCCAGCAAGTCTAAGCCAGCCCTGGCGATTCCATTAAAATGGGGTCATGACCCACTTTGGGGTCCTGACCCACTGGTTGAGAACCACTGTTATAGATTATGTTTATTTTGCTCTTTGTATTTGTGTTTTTTAGATTGCATCCTCATTAATATGGGCACCATAGTTCTGCACAGGGGTGAGGGTACCATGGAGTAATTCAGGAGAAGCACCTGTCTCACCTTTTTATATGCTGCAGAAATGAGTTCTGAAACAGCCCTGAAAAATCCGGTGCAGAGGAAAATGTTAGGGATTGAGATGGGGGAAGGGAGTAGGAACCTATACGTAGAGAGCACAGACAGCAAAGTATGTGTGAGTATTCTGCATGTGTGAGCTTGAGGGGCAGATTCCATTCCATAACTTTTGCGTAGGTCGCAGGCGTTCCCTGTTTATTCTCGCTTTATGCTAGGAGGTGTACATTTAATTCATTGTGTACTGGAGTAATAGCACTGTTCATACAGAGTGAAATTTATCCATGGTGCAGAGGGCCAACACAAGATCTACACAATACTTCAGCCCAAAATAGTGCTGTGTAGAGGGACAGGAGGCAGAGCAGCTTCCCAGGAGTGTCTTGGTGCCCCCATTGAGTTGTAAAAACGGGACTCCATGTTGGACCCAAGTGGAATTATGCTAATTTACTCCAACTGAGGAGCTGGCCTCCGGTTTTTGCCATGTGCCTAGGTTATTAAAAGATCTTTATCTATACTAATATGTCATGGTTTTCATACCATACTCATTAGTCATCACCATTATATCTGAGTATTTGGCCATCAAGTCTGATCCTGCTTTTGCATGAATACAACAAATTTGGATCTAGCCCCTGATTCATATGTTGCTTTCTAGATAAATCTAGATTTTACTCTTAATTGACACTCAAGCCAAATAGTCACTGCTACATATCTTCTCTAAGAACTTCATTATATGCACTTGTCTTCTTAGTTTCTTTCCTCAAATTTCCACCCCTGGCTCCTGATTAGATTTAATACCAAATGTATTTTGTTTCTCTGAATTCAATGATTGGAAGTCTGTCTTTTATTGATCATTTACACTTTAAGAGGCAACACTGAATCATTCACAATAGAATGTGAAATATAAAAAAAAACGAGCACGGTAAATTGCTTCTTGAATAAATGATTTTTCTTCGAAGTTTGTCCTAGTGTGAAAATCTCCCATGAACATTTCCCTTTATTGGACATGCAAAATGAACAATCTAATCAGTAAGGAAGAATTCTCACAAGTGGTAAATGAATGGGAGTTTTATTAAAATCATTTTGTTATATCTGAGCACTGGTATTTGAATACATCCAGTTATCTGAAAAAATGAATGCTAGAAAGAGCAGCTTAGCAAGAATAGGAAGACATGCGTAAGCTGTCATGTAAAAAAGTTAAATCTTTAAAGATAGGATACTATCCAAGTTATTCAAGAGCTGTCTGAACAAGCAAAGGCCTGCAGGTCAGAACAAGCCACAGATTTCAAGATCTCTGGGTCAAGGAAATCATTGAGTTGAAGCAAGCTGTGGGTGTACTGAGTGCTTCCTTTCTTTCTCAGTATTATGGTCAGCTGTGTTCTACTGATTTATTTGAAGAAGAGGAGCTTAGAGAAATTCAATTCCTCTCAACCCTCATAAACTGTTCTCTGACTGTACACTTTTAATAACTTTGCTGCCAGGAATTTCCCCCTCCTCTACAGCTAGTATTCTCATTTTTAAGTATCAAAATACTAATTGTCTAAGGCTGCAGATTTTAGACCTTTGCCTCCTCACAAGATACCTTCTCTCTCAATTTAGGAATCTGACAAACCACTGGCATTGTATATCATTTTTTTCTAAACACAGTTGCCAATTTTAGATTGAAGTAAATAAAAGTCAGAGCTGGTAAAGTAGTATTCAGTGAACCAAACAGTCCAGAAATGGAGGCCTTTTTTGTTTTAGTTCACAAATCACTTGTGAGCCATTCATATTTTGTACAAATGTATCCCTTAGTCTCAAGTATTCACCTAATAGTTTATCTGAATCATTTTTATACTATTTTGGGTGGCCCACCAAATGGTCCCTACAGCAAGTCAATATTTGCAGTCTGTGATGTGGGATTAGTCACATGATAGTATGGCTGAAATTTAGTGAATAACAATTTAAGCCGGGGTGGCCAACCTGAGCTTGAGAAGGAGCCAGAATTTACCAATGTACATTGCCAAAGAGCCACAGTAATATGTAATGTTTATATATGTATATGTGTATATATATGCACACACATAATTATATAATTTGGTAATGTATATTTTATACATTTATAATGAACAGTTAATGATAATAATAAAAAAACTTACCCTTTTACTTAGTGGGACTTCTGGCAATCCTTGCTTTCAACAATTCCCTTGAAATTTGTTTTTTGTTCAGTTGTGCTCACATGCAGCAATTCTCTTAAGTGGCTGTCTGTCAAAATGGATCAGTGCTTGGATTTCACATGTTTGAGTGTTGAGAAAACAGACTCACAAAGACAGGATGAAGCAAACATAGAGATTAATTTTAGGGCTGCACCTCTGATGTTGGGGTATTTATCCTTTGGTACAGATTTCCCGAAAGTAAGGGTCCCCTCTGTCTTCTGAACAGATTTCAATCTGTCATCTTCCAAAAGTTCTATTATTTCCATTTTGGATGTTGCTTCGTCAGTGACTAAAGGCAGTGAGCTTCAGACAGTTGGCTTCAGCACTAAAAGGGTCAATCAGAAATCTGATATGAGGTCTTTTCTGCTGCAAATCTTGGAATCTTTCCTCAAAACTGTCCCTAAGATCTTTAATCATGCTCACATATCTAGTTCTGCTCCATCTTAGGGGTTCTGCTCCTTTCTCTTTTGATCTGGCTTGAAGTTGTGACATTGAGGGAAAGTGTGTCAGCTCTCCCTCAACTATTTGTCTGAGAAACAACTGCAGTTTGTTCATGAATGCAAATACGCTTTGCACTAGATCAGACAGCATCCAGAATTTTCCTTGTAAGTCCACATTTGGTTTATCCAAATGCAGCAGCATGTCTGCAAGAAATGCCAAATCTAGAACCCACCCAGGATCTGTAAGCATGAGGTGTATTCTGTGTTTCTCCTCCATAAACAATTTTACTGGTTCGAGGAGCTCGAAAAAACAGGAAATAACTTTACCTCTCGAGAACCATCGATCTGCGCAGTGAAATAGCAAATCGGCAAGGGAGTCGTCTTCATCCAGTTCTTTAGTTAGATTTTGAAATTGTCTGTGATTGAGTGCATTTGAGCAAATGAAATTCATGATGTGCAAGAAAAGTTTCATGACGTGATCAAATTTGAGATTCTTAGATACCAGTTGCTCCCAATGAATAATACAGTGAAATGTCCAAAATTTGGGAAAGCTTTCATCAGACTTACAAAGCCCTACTAATCCATTTGCAGATCCCCACATTAACAGAGCCCCATCCATTGCAATGGCAGTGAGCTTAGGTAAAGGCAAGTGGCTTTTCGCAACTACCAACATCAACACCTCCTTTAGATCTCGTCCACCAGTTCTGTCCCTTAGTGACACAATATTGAGAAGTTCTTCCCTTACAACACAGTCATCAGACACAGTGTGGACAAAAATACCAATAATTGAGGTTTAGCCTATGCATCGCACAACTCATCCAAAGCGATGCTCAAATACTCACACTGCTGAAGTTGCAAGTGCAGTTGAGATTCGATGTCACTGTTCAGGTCGGAGATTCTGCGTTCAACTGTGTGGGGTGAAAGCTGCAGACCAGAAATTTTCTTCTGTAGGTTATCATTCTCTGGTGACAGGACTGAAATCACATCAGTGAAGTATGTTTTTACAAACTCGCCTTCAGAGTAGGGCTTTTTTGCATGGGCTATGTGCCAGGCCACATAATAGGAGACTAACGTTACAGTTTGTGATCGGTTGGCAAATCCGGTGAAGAACTGGGCTTCTATATCCATTTGTTTTTTCTAAGTTTTCAGTTTTAAAGTGCGGACTTCAGAACCTTGTGGGAATTCTTGATCCATATGTGCATGGCTCGAAGTAAATTGACGCTGCAAGTCTGAAGATTTGAACTGAGAGATACACATCTGGCAAAGAAGACACATGGTCTTACCATTACGTTCAACAACATGCTCGCCACGAGCCATCGCGGAACGTCACAGGCGTAACATGACATAACGGCTATGGAAGCTAGTCTCTGGTGCTTGTGCAAAGATTCAAGGAGACACAGGCACCGGGGGGCTGCTCAACCCCCTGCTCTGCCCCAGGCCCCGCCCCCCACTCCTTGGGGGAAGGGGTGGAGTGGGAATGGGGCCTGAGGCAGAGCTGCTGGTTGAGCACCCCCCTGGCACATTGGAAAGTTGGCACCTGTGGCTCCAGCCCCGGAGTCGGCGCCTATGCAAGGAGAGACATACACCGCTACCTCGATATAACGCGACCCGATATAACACGAATTCAGACATAACGCGGTAAAGCAGTGCTCCGGGGGGGTGGGGGGCGGGGCTGCGGACTCCGGTGTATCAGAGCAAGTTCAATATAACGCGGTTTTACCTATAACGCGGTAAGATTTTTTGGCTCCCAAGGACAGCGTTATATCGAGGTAGAGGTGTATTAACTTCTGAAGAGCCGCATGCAGCTCCGGAGCTGCCGGTTGGCCATCCCTGATTTAAGCACTTAATGTGGGATACACAAAAGATACTTAAGTATCTAAATCCCTGATTTAGGCACCTAAGTCCCAGATTTGGCTCCACTGTGATTCACAAAACTCCTGCCAAACCCTATAGGTGCCTAAACTGACTCAGTATCTATTTCCAGGGTACAAGTTCCTTCAGTACGTAGGTTTTTGCTTCTTCTGTGTCTAAGTGCCTATCTCCTACCTAAGCGGCAGAGCGATCCACAAACCAGGGGGAAGACAAGTGTTTGACTACCTAACTTGTGTGCAGAGCTCAATCCAGTGAGTGGCCTCTGAGTATGCCTACTGTATTGAGTCGCATTCAAAATTGAGGAGGAGGAAGAGGTGGTACCCACCTTATAACTTTAGCTCAATGATTAAAGCACTCACCTGGGATGTGGAAGACACAGGTTCAATTCCCACCTCTTTGACAGAGGGGGAGAAAGAGTTTGAACGACGCCTCTCAGGGGAGTGCTCTAACCACTGAGTGGAGGGACATAGTGTGATGTTGGGCTCCCTTAATCTCTTCTTTTGCAGTGGTTACACTATGGAGAAATAATGAGAGAGTGATTGGAGCAGTGGGACTGGACTGTGGGTCTCCAACCTCTTAACCACTGCACTACAGAGTCATTCCCCCCTCTTTCTCTGGCCCACATTTTAGGATTCACAAATATTTTCCTGAGTACAGGCAGTTGTCCAAATATTCACATACAGGCCTAGACTGTGGCTTTTCCACAAGCCCTGAGTGAGCATTTGTCTACTCTAGAATTTGAAGTGCTCTTTTAACATGAGTTAACTGTTGTCCCAGGGCACAAACATTTGTGATTTACCCTAGGACTTGGCCTCAGGTAAACCGCAAATGTCTAGACTAGCACTTACAGGCATATGACTTGACATAGTTGGTAGTCAATTAATGTGAATTAAAAAAAGACCCCAGACTCTAATCTAGACAAACCATAGAGCTGCACTGCCCCAGGAGCAGACCAGGGACTAGCATATGACTCAGAGAGTTCTCCTTGCTCCCTATCCCTGGCACACATTATTTCCTCCTCCATGTTGGTTCAGCTGAGTTTGCTGGCACATTTGGAGGGCAAAGCTCAAGAGGGAGAGCAGCAGCCCATGGATGCTCCTCCCCCCATTACGCAGTGTCCCATGTTATGGAGGGCTCCTTGGGAAGGCACATAAAGCAGCTCTCATCTGGCCCATAGATACATATTTCTGCAAATAGCATCAGTTATCAAATGTGAATAATTTCTTTGAATATATTCACTAATCTGTTTTATTCTCTTCTGTTAAGGTTTTTATGCCATACTCCACACCATGATATCTGAGTGCCCTTCAGCCTGCTCTTTCATTATTCAACTAGCACCACTAAAAGGTGTAACTAGGAAATAACTTGGAAATTACAGCTGAAAGGGCAGATGGGGCTCTTGTAGACAGGGCCGTCCTTTCCCATACGCAAAGTACGCAGCTGCGTAGGACACCAGGAAATTTGGGGCCCTGCGCAGCTGCGTGCTGCTCTAGCCCCTGCTCTGACTCTTCTCCACAGGACCGGCTCCAGGCACCAGCCTGGCAAGCAGGTGCTTGGGGCGGCCACTCCGGAGAAGGGTGGTAGGTCCAGCCATTCGGCGGACGGTCCCTCACTCCCGCTCGGAGCGAAGGACCTTCCTCTGAATTGCCGCCACAGATCGCGATCGCGGCTTTTTTTTTTTTTTTTTGGCTGCTTGGGACGACCAAAACCCTGGAGCCGGCCCTGCTTCCCCAGGGCCCCCACCCCTGCTCCGCCCCACCTCTTCCCCGCCCCAACCCCGCCTCTTCCCCGTCCCCACTCCCCTGAGGACTCCAGAAGTGGTCAGGCTTGCACTCACTGGTAAGCAGAGGGACCCAGCCCCAGCCTGCTCCGCTCCCCTGGCTCCCAGCCATGCTGCTGGTGAGTGCTGGGGGACAGTACCCCCCTCCCCCCCAAGCCTGGGAGCCAGGGGAGCAGAGCAGGCTAGGGCTGGGTCACTCCACTTCCCACAGAAAGTGGCCAGCCCCCCTCCCGCCATCCCGGAGGCCTGGGGCCAGCCCGCCCTGCTCCCCCCGCAGAGGCCTGGGGCAGGGCCCCACACAGCCCCCCCCCCCCCCGCAGAGCCTGGGGCCAACCCCATCCCCATGGAGGCCTGGGGCCCCATACAGCACCTCCACAGGGAGGGCTGCGTAGGGCACCAAAATAGCTAGGGACGGCCCTGCTTGTAGATATAATCTTAAATTACAATTGAAAAGACATATGGGCCCGATATAAAGATGTTATAATGTTAAAAGAGAAAAGGTCCTGACAAGAGTTAATTCTACTACCTTTTCCCCTCCTCTTGTGCTGGCACTAACCATAATAGCATTTCCATTATGTGCTGTTTCTGGTATATTGCTATCAAAGCACACAGAAATTTTCCATTGAGTGGAAAATTGGCACGGCTTTCTTATTTACAACTGCAAAGATAACAATTTTGATAAAGTGCTTTTCTATAATTATACTTCTATTCGCCGAACTGGGGGGAAAATACCTACTATTCAGTTAACCTGGCCAATACACCTGTGTGTAAATTTTATCCTTAAAACCAGTACTGGTTTTGTTTTTCATAAGCATCTCCATTCAGACAGGGCTGTCTCACAGTTTCTTCACTTCCTGGCATCAGCAAATGAAAAAGAAAAAGGTTAAAGGGCTCTCCCACTGCAAACTCAGTTTAAGGCTTTTCACTTCATGCTCTCAGTAGGTTCAACTTTGGTGGGCTAGTGAGATACATTGCCTTGATTTCTGTCCAACAGGTTAGAGGCAGAGTGTGAAACTATGGGATGGAAGGTAATCAGACAGTTGTTATGTTCTCAAAAGGTTCCCACAGGAGTCCTTTCTGGCACCATGTGGTGTGTATTCTATTCACCAATAGCCTCTGAAAGGATTGTGTGAGTTTTGAGGCTGGAGAATAAACAGACCCTGCTCTGTTGTTATTCGTGATCACGTGATAACTGTTGTAAAGATTCACACCCAGAGCAATTTAGTGCAACACTGGTTAAAAAAGTAAACTTTTAATACAGCTGAGAAGCAAATGTATGCTGTCTAGAAGCACCTGGAACACCCCAGAATAATTAGCTACAACTATGGGAATAATATTTTGCACTTCTATGCTTTCCATCTGAGGACCTTAAAGTGCTTTACAAACATTAATTAAGTCTCACAATATCCTTAAGAGATAGGTATTATTATAATATCTGTTTTCCAAGTTGGTAAGATGAGGCACAAAGATTAAGGCTCACATTTTCAGAAGTGCCCACTGATTCTGGGTAACTCAAATTTTGGATCCCCAAAGTGAGACATTTGGGATTTTCAACCCAAGGCATTCAAAAATCTTAAATCACATCCCCAAATACCATCAGATTTAAATAATAACAAATGGGTTATTTTTATTTGCTTTCTAGTATTGGAAGGTTTAAGGTTCACATTTTAAAACTTTTCTCCACTGCCTTATGGGCTAGAAACTTGATTTCTTTAATGAAAGTTGACTTTGTTGGGTAATAGCCTGATTCTAGCTGTTGGGGATTTAAAAAAAAAATCCACACAGTACTGCAAGACACAATAAAATGGAGAGAGTTGTTAACACTGAACACCTACAATTCCAGTGAGTGCTGTAAATGTCCAGTTCTTTTGAAAATTAGGCCTAAGTATCCCAGGTTAGTTACCCAAGATTAGCGGATTAGTGCTCGGCAGTATCATAGAATCATAGAATCATAGATTATAGGACTGGAAGGGACCTCGAGAGGTCATCGAGTACAGTCCCCTGCCCGCATGGCAGGACCAAATACTGTCTAGACCATCCCTGATAGAC